TTCAGAAACGAGAGTGATCACACTATTGGAAGACTGTCGCAGTGCTCTCTCCCCGAACGAATTGGTCAAGGCGAAGAAGTTGTTACTCAAGTACGCCGATGTATTCTCATCAAACGATGCTGACATGGGAAAGACTGGCTTAGTTCAACACAAAATAAACACAGGAGAAGAATTGTCTATCCGTCAGCGGCCAAGAAGATTGCCGGTAGCACGTGAAAAGGAAGTGGAAACCATGATTGAGGGAATGGTGAAGGATGGTGTTATTGAACCTTCATCTAGTCCATGGTGTTCACCCATGGTGCTGGTAAAGAAGAAAGATAGAAGCATGCGGTTCTGTGTTGATTACCGCCGTCTGAACGATGTTACAAAGAAGGACAGCTATCCCTTGCCAAGGATTGATGACACGCTGGACATGCTTACAGGAATAAAGTGGTTTAGCACGCTGGATCTAAAAAGTGGCTACTGGCAAGTTGAAATTGAACCTAAGGACAAGGAGAAAACTGCGTTCTCGACGGGAAAGGGTCTGTGGCAATTTAAAGTAGTGCCGTTTGGGTTGTGCAATGCTCCAGCAACGTTTGAAAGGCTGATGAAACTTGTACTTACCGGGCTAATAGGCGATGCCTGTCTGGTCTACTTGGATGACATCATCATCATAGGCCCCACATTTGAGGAACACATTCAAAACCTGGAACGCGTGCTCATGAAGATTGAGAGTGCCAACTTTAAGTTGAGTCCGAAGAAATGTTCACTATTCAAACGGCAAGTTAACTTTTTGGGGTATGTAGTATCGGAAGAAGGTATCCGCACGGATCCAGAGAAAATCGCCGCTGTCAAGGATTTGCCGGTTCCAAAAGACAAGACGCAGGTTAGAGCATTTTTGGGTTTGTGCTCCTATTACCGGCGATTTGAGAAGAACTTTGCAGATATAGCCAAACCTCTGCATAAGCTAACCGAGGAGAAGCGACATTTCTGCTGGGATGAAAGTTGCAATATCGCATTCCATGAGCTCAAGGACCGTCTGTGCAAAACACCTATTTTGGGATACCCTGATGCAAGCAAAGAATTTATAGTTGACACAGACGCAAGTGATATAGGACTTGGCGGTGTGTTGTCTCAACGGAATGGTGACCAAGAGGTCGTGATAGCGTACTTCAGCAAGTCGTTGTCAAAACCGGAAAGAAACTAACTGTGTCACAAGACGCGAATTGCTAGCTGTGGTAAAGTCGTTGCAGCATTTTAGCAAATATCTTCTGAGACGAAAATTTCGCTTAAGAACTGACCATGCTGCACTAAAATGGCCATTGCAGTTTAAAAATACAGAAGGACAAGTTGCGAGGTGGATTGAACTACTGCAAGAATACGACTTTGAGATCGAACATCGCAGCGGGAAATCTCATGGTAACGCAGATGCATTGTCACGAAGACCTTGTCCTGAAGATTGCAAACATTGTACTAGGCAGGAGAGTAAGGAAGTTGTATCCGTGAGGATGCCCAGGACAGACCAACTCAGCAACGAGTGGAAGGACAGCTTACAACATGCACAGCAGGAAGATCCGGACATCAAGCCGATTCTGGAATGGATGAAGGCCAGTGCTCCCAAGCCCAAGTTGAGCGACGTCTCAGCGATGAGTTCGACCACTTAAAGCTATTGGGCCCAATGGGACAGCTTGCTGCTTCAGGATGGAGTTCTGTGCCGTAAATGGGAAAATGTTCGGGGAGACAGCTGTCATTTTCAAATGGTTGTCCCTAAAGCTAAAATGCCGGATGTTCTACAGCTGTACCATAATAATTGTTCAGGAGGCCATCTGGGAGTTAAACAAACTCTACTGAAGATCCGAGAAAGGTTTTATTGGGTCCACTGTCGAAACGATGTCGAGGACTGGTGTCGCAAATTTACAAGTTGTGCGGCTGTAAAGGGACCTCAGACTCGTAGTAGAGGTGCGTTGAAGTTGTATAATGTTGGTGCACCATGGGAGAGAATAGCCATCGACGTGGCGGGGCCGTTTCCGGAGAGTGAAAGCGGTAACAAGTATTTCATGGTTGTGATGGATTACTTCACTAAGTTGCTAGAAGTCTTCGCTATTCCAAGTCAAGAAGCTTCAACAGTTGCAGATAAACTAGTTCATGAAGTCTTCTGTCGTTTTTTAGTACCTTTGGAGATTCACAGCGATCAAGGAAGGAATTTTGAATCTCAAATATTCCAGGAAACTTGCCGAGTTATGGGTACTCATAAAACAAGAACGACTTCTTATCACCCACAATCTGATGGAATGGTAGAACGATTTAATCAGACATTGGAGAGGTACCTAGCAAAAGTTGTAGACAATCGGCAACGAGATTGGTACAAGCACATACAACCGTTTTTGTTGTCATATCGAAGCACTGTTCACAAAATACAGCAGTGACACCAGCTATCGCAAACTTTGGGAGAGAATTACGGCTGCCTGCATACCTGATCACCGGGATACCACCTGATACCCCACGCAGTATAACCGATTATGCAAATGACTTGCGGAATAAAATGAATGACAATTACGTGAGCACGTCAGACAATCGGGCCAGCTAATGTCTGAGAAAATGAAAACCCGGTACGACCGCAAAATGAACAATAAAGGGTTCGACGAAGGTTCACTAGTGTGGTTGCGCAATCCAGTACGCAGCAAAAGGAAACCTCCTAAGCTTCAAGCTAAATGGGACGGCCCGTACCGGATTGTGACCAGGATCAATGATGTAACCTACCGGATACAGAAAGGCGCAAGAGGGACTCCTAAGATCGTCCATTTGGATCGCCTGGCGCGATATTATGGGGCCGATAATGCTCGGGACGAGCATGATTTAGGAGGGGGCAGTGTTACGCGCCTAAATCGAGGGCACTAGCGCCATCTAGTGTCAGAGACGATAGCGAGAGGAGCTTTCCAGAAAATGACATCACTAATCTTTCAACCGACAGCACCATCTAGTCTCGAACCGAAGAACTAAACTTCTAGAATTTGAAACTCGAACTTTCGCTACCTTGCGTGTGTTTACTTGAATATTCTGGATACTTCGGTGCTAATTTGTATTAATAGGCGCTGCAAGATGCGATCGGTGAAGTATTGAATTCGGCGAGACAAGCGAAGCTTCGGGGCGAAATAAAGTGAATCAGTGTGATTAATTATTGGTGTTTTAAGTTTTAATTAGTGTAAAGAAAATTAAAGTGTTAATTTAGGTAATTCTATCGGCAATTTTTATTGTCACGAACCTGAAGCTCGTAACAGTATCTTTGACATTGCCAGTAAAAATAATTACTGTATGTTCATGATATCAATCATTATATAATACTTGAAAGAATTCAGTCTTGTTATAAACTAAACTTGTAAAGAAATCTGATAACGGCCTAAAATATAAGAAGAAGAATAGACCTTAATTTGTTTTACAAAAGAAAAAGTAGCCACTATGCAAAAAAATTAAGACGTATAAGCTTTTAAAATTCCTTAGGACTTTGTAATGAAATATGGAAGTAGTTACGTAATCTAACTGTATACAATGTACATTTTGTCGGATGGTGTAAGGCTGCCACTAGAAAACCTTTCTTCCTCATTGGCTGTGGCTTTTTCGAGCTATATGGCTGGAAAAACATTTTACACATCAACTTACTTATCCATTGGGCTATTTCGGTTACTGTAATTCTACTGTAGATATCCTTATTTTTAAATATACTGTATATCCTCATTTTTAAATAACTGTCACTCTTGCTATCTGCGTGAAACAATTACCTACTATCGCGACACCTTCAGCGTAACATACGCAGTCGGGGCTAACTCGTTGTAGGCGATTTAATTTTAAAAAAAATTAACGCTGTTTACGTAAATAATTTTTGTAAATACTTGTTGAAATAGTTTGTGTTTAGTGTTTATTTATATATTACTTATTTGATCAATTGTAATGGCAAAAAGTCGTTCTCACTATAACTGTATGCGTGGATGGATGCTAATTAGCAACAAAAGGTTATGGATATATCATTCTTGTAAGTAGGAAGTTATGAAATAATAATTTATTTCAGATTTCATAACTTCTTACTTACAAGGATTTTAGTAGGAAGTTATCAAAGGTAAATTTATTTAATTTTTAGGTGCTTATAGAAATAAGAGTTACGTAATAATTTATCTACAGAAGTAATACCTGCGTACCTTTATAATTTAAATATTTTAAGTAATAATCGTACAAAATATTGATATTAAAACTTTGTTTCCTATCAAGATTTTTAACTGGCTGGCGCGTTGTAAGCGATTGAATGTTAAAGTAAAACTTTAACTTAACGCTGTTTACATAAATAATTTTTGTAAATACTTGTTTAGTGTTTAGTATATTTAATTGTTGCACAAAATATTTAAAAAGCTTTAATGTAATTTAAAAATTATATGTATGTCGGAGCGGAAACCTCGGAGTTGATTTTTGGTGAGGCAGCACGACTGTCACCATTTGAAAAGGATTCAGTCGTTCTACCGTACATTGTGTCCATTATATGTAATGAAAGATATCTAAGACCACACACTTTTAATTTTGCACTACAACAACTTTATTCTACACTCCTTGTTATAAATAGTCACAAATAATAATCACAAAGCCTTACCAGAAAAAAAATACACTGAAGAGCGCAGGAACTGAAGTGAGTCTATTCCTGCGACCATACAATAAAGAAAACGTAATAACGACTTAGGTGTGTTCTGATTGGTCGACGATTTAATTGGTCAATACTTAACTAAACAATAACTTTTTATTGAATTCATTAGGTTACTAATAATAGAACTAGTAATTTCAATTACAGGGGTTAATAATCAAATCGAAATTGATTTATTTCTACAATTTAAAACAATATTTGAGTTAAAAGTTGATAATTGAATAAATAGTTAGTATAATAATAATAATAAATGGATGAAAAAAAAAATTGAAAATCGACCGCGACTTCCCCGCATACGCCTAAGCAAACGAAATCGGGCTGTCGTGAGGGATCTTAAGCAATGCTGGTGACCTATTTGGAAGCCAGCCGGGACCTTTGCGAGACGGACTCAATTCTCTTTGGCGCCGCAATGGCAGTTTGCCGTATTATTGGCGCCAAACTTCCCATGGCTGGACGCGCTACTACACAAAGTAGCGCCATCCCAGCCTGGAGAAAAAGAATCGAGGTCCGTATCGCAAAGGCAAGGGCCCTTATCGGCAGACTAACAAGCTTCAGGTCGGGTAATAATAGACCGAGGATTGTGCGCACCGTTAGGATGGCGTTTGCTGGGACAAATATCAGTTTGTCCCAGCCGGATATCACGCAGAAACTAACGGAGCTCATAGACGACCTGAAGCAAAAGATCGCTGCTTGGGGGTAGCGGATTCAACGATTTACCGAGGGGTCAAGGCGGTTCAACCAGAATCGTCTCCTCCGAGTGATCAGAAGAGGCTCTATAAATCAATGGAGCGACCAGAGGTATGTTGAGCGGGCCAAGGACCGGATCAGGCTGACATTATCGCATTCTGGCGTGGCCTGTGGTCAGAGCCCGTAAACCACAGCGAGGGCCCTTGGATGGAAGTTGTGGTGAGCCAGGGTGCGAGTGTTACGCGTATGGACCCCATCACCATAACGCTGGAAGACGTGGCTGAGGCGGTCCGTAGGACCCGAACTGGAAAAGTCCGGGGCGCGACGGGCTGCATCATTTCTGGCTGAAGGGGTTCATAGTGTGTCACGCTGTGCTCGCCCGATGGTTTCAAGAGGCTCTCGACCAGAAGTCGCTCCCGAGCCTCTTCACTACTTGGATCACTCACTTGGTTCCTAAAGATCAGGATACCACAGACCCGAGCAAATACCGCCCCATCACGTGTCTACCCACCATATATAAGACACTGACATCCATTTTGAGCGCGAGAATCACTCGTTACATAGAGCTAAACCAGGTGATGTCACGCGCTCAAAATAGATGTCGGGGCGGTGGTCGTGGAACCAAGGAACCACTCCCCATTGACGCGGTCATAGGCAAAGTGGTAAAACGCAACCGTCGGAACTTCTCTACCGCCTGGATAGACTGCAGAAAGGCGTTCGAATCTGTGCCCCATACATGGCTAAATAGGGTCCTCGAGCTGTACAAGATTTACTGTACAGTTAGAGACTTCCTCGAGCAGTGTACGGGGCAGTGGAGTACGATCCTTTGTCATCTGGGCGAGCGGATGATGGCTGCGGAGAACCACATAAGGATAAGAAGGGGTATCTTCCAGGGCGATTGTTTGAGTCCAATCTGGTTCTGCCTCTCTCTGAACCCTCTCAGTACCTTACTGGAGGGTTCCGGGAGGGTATTTCAGCTACGGAAACGAGGGACAAAAGTGAGCCACCTTTTCTATATGGATGACCTCAAGTTATTTGCCTCCAGTCGCTCCCATCTTATGGAATTGCTAAACATCACTTATGAATTTAGCAATTCCATTGGAATGGAGCTGGTAACGGATAAGTGTGCGGTCCTCCATGTTGAAAGGGGAAGGGTTGCTAACTCTGAGGGCATAGACTTGTCTATGCCCGTCAACTTAAGGACCCTTTCCGAGGCTGAAACATACCGATACCTGGGTATGTCACAGAACATCGGTATCGATGAGGCTGGTATGAAACAGTCAGTTTGCGACGTGTTTTATGCACGCTTGACCAAAGTGCTTAACAGCCTTTTGTCCGGTGTGAATAAGACACACGCATATAACGGTTGGGTCACGCCTGTCCTCATATATACCTTTGGCATACTCAGGTGAACTCAGACCGAACTTAACGCCCAGGATAGAAAAGTCCGTACTACCATGACATCCCATAGGATGCATCATCCGAGATCGTCGGTAATGAGGCTGTACTTGCCGCGAAAGCATGGTGGTCGTGGTTTTCTGAGCGCGCTCACCATGCATAATCGCGAAGTGTGCAGCCTCCGTCATTACTTTCTGGCGAGATCGGATTATCCATTCTATAATGACGTCATTTCTAGTGATAAAGAGCTTACCCCTCTATCCTTAGCCCACGAGCAATGGCAGGGCCCAGCAGTGCTTAGTATTTCCGACCGGGAGACCGTATGGAAGGAGAAGGAGCTCCACGGGAGGTACTACAAGGCTCTTCATGAGCCCTTCGTAGATACAGTCGCCTCCCTCAACTGGCTACGTTTCGGTGACCTCTTCGGGGAAACCGAGGGTTTTGTCTGTGCAATACAGGATCAGGTTATTAAGACTAACAACTATCGGAGATACATCCTAAAGAATGGCACCGTCGACGTCTGTCGATCTTATAGCCATCCCGGTGAGTCGCTTAGGCATGTCATCTTCGGTTGTTCGGCGCTTTCTAACTCTGAGTACTTGCACAGGCACAACCTAGTAGCCAGAATTTTACACCAGGAGCTCGCTCTGAAATACGGTCTCGTGGACCGGAAATTGCCGTATTACAAGTGCTTGCCGGAAACCGTGATCGAAAATGACCGCGCCAGGCTCCACTGGGACCGGGCCATCATCACAGATAGGACTATTCTTGCGAATAAGCCTGATATTGTGCTGATGGACCGCGCAAAGATATTTTTGGTCGACATAATCATTCCGTATGACGAGAAGCTCGTGAAAGCCAAAACAGATAAGCGAACAAAATATCTGGACCGGCTCACGAGGTGACCGACATGTGGGGTGGTCGGCCGATCGAAATTATTCCTGTAGTCGTCTCTGCAAATGGGCTAATCCCAGTCAGCCTCTCGGGTCATCTGAGGCGATTGGGACTCCGTGACTGACCGCTCCGGGCTCAAATGCAGAAGGCAGTGGTCCTCGATACCGCCCGCATCGTCCGTCGGTTTCTTTCCCTTTCCTCCTAACCCTCGGCCATTTGGTCTCCTCTTCCGAGGGCTTCCATCCGGTTAGATCTTTATTTATTTGTGTATTTTTTGTTTTAATTTTATTTTATTGATATTTATGTATATTTATCTTCTCATTTTCATTTATAATTATATATTTATAGATCCCAACCAGATGAGAGAACTATATAGATACCCCCCATAATAATAATAATAGTACTATTAAAACATAGAAATTAGTTGTCAATAAAGAGATTTGTAAACCAAAAGAGTTTTAAAGAACTTTTTATACGTGGTAGAGCCATGCTGCAGTTATATTAGATGTATAGTTGTAGCACGAATGGGTCGGCTCGACCGGGGAAGGACCACGCTCTCACAGAATACCAGCGTGAAATAGTAGCTTAATGCTGCTGTATTTCGTATGGTGAGTGTAGAGAACCGGCGACCCATTTTACTGGAAACGAGGCATTCCATCTTAGTCCTCACGGGTGACAACACATCTGCATTTTGATTCGTAATCGAGGATAGATGTAGATGTCTATGGGCCACAGCAACCACTTACCATCAGGTGGACTGTGTGCTCGATTGTCACCCTATCCTATAAAAAAAAAGCTAGTTACAATACTTTATAACAATTAAAAGACAATGCAAAGTTTAGGCTTCGTCAACAGAAGATGTCCTTGCGGCAAAAACACACACACACACACACACACACACACACACACACACACACACACACACACACACACACACACACACACACACACACACATATATATATATATATATATATATGTATGTATATTACCCATCTATTTGATAAATTTTAATATGGCAAAACGTCGTTCCTACTATAATTGTTGCATGGACAGATGCTAAATGACCAACAAAATGTTTCAGATATATCATTTTTTAAGTTACCGAAGGATTTTAGTAGGAAGTATGAAACGTGAATTTATTTAATTTTTATTTTTAGATAGGTACCCACTTATAGCAAAAAAGAATTAAGAAATAGTTTACCTAACACTCACGAACTTTATTACAAAATTATGTTGAAATTTACTTTAATATCTACTTACATACCTATACACATCTTTTGTATTTAAAATATTTAAAGTTATAATAACACAAAACTTAACTTTACTTAGTTAAATTATTTTAGTAAACCAACTTAAAACTTGGTTTACTAAAATAATTTTAACTAAGTAAAGTACGATTACATTTCTGTTGGGAATCGTATTTCATGTTTATTTGTCGTTTACGGTATCTACCTACCTTTTCCTTCTGAGCCAAACATCTCGATTCGCGACAAATGGCCTTGCAAGTTGCATGCGTTAGGCATCGCAGAATTTACATAGGTGAGAAAATATGGTCAGTCGATCATAGTCCGAATAGGTATTTCGCAATGTTTTGTTACTCTTTATTGACATCCCTTCGTAACAACAGAAAGTCCGCCGTAACGTTGGAAGGGGAAAGGATGCAAAGTAATACGGACACTCTCACGCAGCGATAAAGTTTTATTTAGATTTATCTAATTATTAATTATTAAACGTCGGCAAGCATTCAATATCAAAAAAGTGTAACTTCTGTACGTAGAACTATTATTTGTTCTGTGGCCTAAGTAACTTAATTCATCATCATCATCATCATTACAGAAATGAAAAAATTCAATATTTATTCGAACACTACACATTAAATGAAACTAATTTTGCTTCCTACTTTTATTTTACTTCGATTCCCGACGTTTCGGGTGCCTTACAGTATTAATTTTAACGTCGCACCTTTGACAAAATGTGGCACGTGCTGAGGCGGCGCGGTACAATAACAACCGTGTCTAAGCGAACAGACTGTACACCAAGGGAAATTAAACTAAAAAAACGTTTCTATTGTACCTTGGTTATAGATGAAATGAAAATTGAGCAGTTGGTGGAATACCATGATAGCAGCCAAAGACATTATAGCTCTGTCTAATAAGGGTTTAATATTACACCCGATAATTTCAGTGAAGCTACTGACGAATTAGTGTTTTATTACTCGGTATAAACACAACGTGGAAATTACCCTTGTTAAGTCCCAAAAATGCTCCTTGTGATTACGAATAAAACAACTGATTCACCGAAGCAAAGTCAACAAAATTTATTTTCACAAATGCCTTTATAGTATTTTGATAGAACCCAATATCGAGATTTACTAAACTCGTGTCGAAAATATAGCGCCATCTATCAACAAGTCATTATACTATGATTACTAGTACATAAATATCAATAGTTCAGCGCCATCTATTAACATTTCATAACACCGGCTAAATTTTCACATTTTTCTGTCTGATGCTCGCTAGAATACAACTGCTTTTTCCCTTTTCAATTAATCTGCCAGTATTTATTTTTCAGTTTCATTCTCTCTCTCTCTTTTTCATTTTCTCGTCTTTTTCATATTATAGTTTTTTGTTTAGTTTGGTATTGGATCCATTGCGTTATAATAAATATATTTTTGTTAATATTTATTATTGATACATGATAATTTACATTACTTAATTA